TTTGATCGCCTGTGCGTTTTTTATTTTTTGCGCTATAAAAAAAAAGACTGACAATTTTGAGGAAAAAAAAAACAATATTTTGGACTTTTTTGCTATAAAACATGTCCAGTAAAAAAAAATTTAAAAATCAAACTTAGTCATAAATTTCTGCCAAAATGCATTCTGCGACATGTCTTTGCTAAAAAAAAGCCCCAATACGTGTAAATTAATTGGTTTACGTGAAAGTTATAGCGTTTACAAATGGCGGGAAAGATACTGGGATTTTTAATTTTTTTTTATACTAATAATGGCGGCGATCAGTGACTTATGGCGGTGATCAGCAAATTATGGTGGCGATCAGCGACTTATGGCGGGACTGCAGCGGACATTCTGACACTGGGGGGGAAATGACTTGGGGTCACTGACATCCCCAGTGACACCAATACAGTGATCAGTGCAAAAAAAAAAACACTGACACTGTACTAATGGCACTGGGGAGGAAGGGGTTACCTTTATTATGCAGTGAAAGGGTTAACTGTGTGAGGGGAGTGTTTTACTAGGGGGCGGGGGTGTGTACTGAGGGGGGGGGGAAGCTGATCTGGAGAGATAAACTCTTCCCTCCTGCTCAGCCTGTCAGGAGCTGTCAGGGAACTGACAGAAAGCACAGCTACTGCAGCTGTGCTTTGTCAGTGATTGCCGCTAATCGCCGGGACACAGCCAGTAATGAACGGCTGTGACCCGGCAACTGACATCTGCGGCCATGATCGTGGGACAGGTAGGGCGGAGGCGCGCCTTGCGCGTGCCCCCTACCTGTTTTGAAAACACACATTTTAAAAACATGGTTTTGCACAGCCATGCCGCCCTGCCGCCGTATTTCTACAGTGGCTGGGCGGCATGTGGTTAATATACATTCCACATGTCCATTGTTTGGGCTAAATATCTACAGTATATCTTTCCTCACTATCACTGCCTATGACTGAAATGTGCGGATGAGAAAAAGAAAAATGAGTCATGTGATATCATGTGATGCAGCTCATTCCTACATGAGCCCATTATTTGCAGTAAGTGGAAGAAATTAGAGGATAACCTGTGATAATCAGACCATGGAAGGGTTATCTCCAATGTGCCAAAACAATGTTCACTGATACATTGACTGACTTTGGAATATGTTGGAAAATCTCTGATCTTACAATGATTGCTTCAACTTGAAGAGTATAGGTCAACCTTTTCATCACAGAGGAACCCTTGAAATAACTTTCCAGTCACAGGAAACCCTTACTAAAACTTACTATATGTACAGCTCATGATACATTAGTGTAATGATCGGTGGGAAGAATGCTTCTTACGCTTGTGGTCATTAGAAATAATTCCCCCCTCACAGTAAACTAAAAAGATGGTGTCAATGGGAACTCATCTGAGAGGAAGAAACTGCTCATTGCTCAAGGAACCCCTAGAAAGCTCTGGAGGAACCCTAGAGTTCCATGGAACCCTGGTTGAGAAACACTGGTATAGGTTGACCACTAGAAGGGGCTGTGTGCTGTCTTTTTGTAAGAAGCCAGCAATGAAATGTCATTTGTCATTTAAACATTTTTTTCTTTGTAAATGTTACTTTTGCTGTAGTACATGCTACAGAAAGAATGAAGAAAAATTGCAGAGTCTCCCCCAAAATGCATACCAGATCGTTTAAGCCAGGTAGAAATTTTAATGGGGTACCACCACCCCGCACAAGAAACAAAAAAAAAAGTAAGATCCCCCAGGAAATCAACACCAGACCCTTATATGGCCAGGGCTTTTCTTCCAAATAAGTGAATGGGGCTGGTGATGTCATTAATTTAGAACTTGGCAGTGCCTGAACCCGCTGGTGCTGTTAACAGTCATTGGCAGTGGGAAGCTGTCATGTGTAAATTATTATACATGACGCTATTATACATGACTAACAGCTCCTGTCGAACGAGTAAAAGTTTGGGCACTAGTCCAAAGCCCAAGTTGGGTCTGATCCTTAAGCTCATCCTTACTCTCTATCTGTATACATATTACTGGGCTGATGTGATCCATTCCTTTTTATTTATATGTACAGTTTGTTATTCTAATGCTTCATCCAAATGTCATTTCTAATGGCAAATGATTTGATTGAATACATAAGCAAATGTTTAGTTAAAGGAGTAGTACAGCCAAAGTTCTTTTGGCTGTACTGTGGCTCACAGGGGTGCAGTTCGTTCTGCACTCCTGTGACATGTTTATAGCCAACAGTGGGCTAAAGTCCGCTATCAGCTGATGTCACTCAATCAGTCCAGGCTGGGTAAAGATCCCAACTTTAAAGTCGGGATCCACCCAGATGTTTGGACAGCACATGGTCGCCTCTCAGCGATCTGATGAGAGCCTAAGCCAGCCGGACTCTGCACAACCCAGCGCTCCAGTGAGCGTGGGGGCACAGAGCAGAGAGCTGGTGACTGAAAGTTACCAGACCTCTGTTCATGGAGCACTGAGAACTGATTGATCAGTGATGTTTGACCACTCAGTTCTCAGTCTTAGAGGGGACAGATGCAGCATCGGCCCAAGGTACGGATGATTTCTGTAAAAAAAACAACTTCTATTTTAAACTCAATGTACATACAGTGGGGATCGAAAGTTTGGGCACCCCAGCTAAAAATTTGTATTAATGTGCATAAAGAAGCCAAGGAAAGATGGAAAAATCTCCAAAAGGCATCAAATTACAGATTAGACATTCTTATAATATGTCAACAAAAGTTAGATTTTATTTCCATCATTTACACTTTCAAAATAACAGAAAACAAAACAATGGCATCTGCAAAAGTTTGGGCACCCTGCAGAATTTATAGCATGCACTGCCCCCTTTGCCAAGCTGAGACCTGCCAGTGTCATGGATTGTTCTCAATCATCGTCTGGGAAGACCAGGTTATGTCAATCTCAAAGGCTTTAAATGCCCAGACTCATCTGACGTTCCCCCAACAATCAGCACCATGGGTTCTTCTAAACAGTTGTCTAGAAAACTGAAACTGAAAATAGTTGATGCTCACAAAGCTGGAGAAGGCCATAAGAAGATAGCAAAGCGTTTTCAGATGTCAATATCCTCTGTTCGGAATGTAATTAAGAAATGGCAGTCATCAGGAACAGTGGAAGTTAAAGCAAGATCTGGAAGACCAAGAAAAATATCAGACAGAACAGCTCACAGGATTGTGAGAAAAACAATTCAAAACCCACGTTTGACTGCACGATCCCTACAGAAAGAGATACTTGTACAAATATGGTCTTCATGGAAGAGTCATCAGAAGAAAACCTCTTCTATGTCCTCACCACAAAAATCATCATTTGAACTTTGCAAATGAACATATAGACAAGCCTGATGCATTTTGGAAACAAGTTCTGTAGACTGATGAGGTTAAAATTGAACTTTTTGGCCGGAATGGTATGTTTGCTTTGCTCAGGTATGTTTGGAGAAGAAGGGGCACAGAATTTAATGAAAAAAACCTCTGTCCAATTGTTAAGCATGGGGTTGGATCAATCATGCTTTGGGGTTGTGTTGCAGCCAGTGGCACAGGGAACATCTCACGAGTAGAAGGAAAAATGGATTCAATAAAATTTCAGCAAATTTTGAATGGTAACTTGATGCCATCTGTGAAAAAGCTGAAGTTAAAGAGAGGATGGCTTCTACAAATGGATAATGATCCTAAACACACCTCGAAATCCACGGGGGATTACATCAAGAGGCGTAAACTGAAGGTTTTGCCATGGCCTTCACAATCTCCTGACCTCAACATAATTGAAAATCTATGGATAGACCTTAAAAAAGCAGTGCGTGACAGACAGCCCAGAAATCTCAAAGAACTGGAAGACTTTTGTAAGGAAGAATGGGCAAAGATACCTCAAACAAGAACTGAAAGACTCTTGGCTGGCTACAAAAAGCGTTTACAAGCTGTGATACTTGCCAAAGGGGGCAGTACAAGATATTAACTCTGCAGGGTGCCCAAACTTTTGCAGACGCCATTTTTTTGTTTTCTGTTATTTTGAAAGTGTAAATGATGGTAATAAAATCTAACTTTTGTTGACATATTATAAGAATGTCTAATCTGTAATTTGATGCTTTTTGGAGATTTTTCCATCTTTCCTTGGCTTCTTCTTTATGCACATTAATACAAATTTTTAGCTGGGGTGCCCAAACTTTCGATCCCCACTGTAAAAAGAATTGGACTAAATCTCCCAGATCCTAGTGTATCCTCCCTTCCTGAAGCAGCAACCACACATATTGTTCCCAGCCACATCCCCTCCTTCTCTCTGCATACAGTTACATCAATGCATGCAGTGACACTGAAATTTATATTACAATGCGGCACTATACCTAAACAATTCTGCTTCATACATATATCCAAAAAGGTTACATAAATATGAAAATCAATATATTAAAAATGTGTTCATAATACATAACAAATGTGCAAATTGATCACACACTTACACATAAACTATTTATGTGTGACACCTCTCCAGCAACTTTATCAAATAATGCATACATAAATGAATGTGCATTGAAAACGTACAAACACTCACATATAGCTGTGTTTCAATTCTTATCCACCTCAGTACTTTCCTCATGCAACTTCTGCATGTTTAAATCACTTTCTTGCAAAAAAAACCCACTGCTCTCTTCCCACTTGTGCTTTAGGTGTGCACTCACCTCAGGAGGTCATGTGGTGCCTGCAACCTCTAAGAGGTAATACTCCTCTGTCATCTCCACTTCTTGTATCATAACTTGGATCAAAGACACAAATAAGCTCATAGTCATAGCGCTCATTGAGTTGTGGGGCAAGTTCTGGGCTTTGAGCACAGTGTGTGTGGGAAGGAGCTGGGTACCCTCCCGTTGTGCTGTCCAGGCCACTGTACAGAGGTTTGAGGGACTCTAACTCACTCTGGTGATTTGTACAACCTATATGCTTCTGCTTTTTTAAAGAAGTAAATTACTGATCTTCCTAAAGCATGTGTACTAATTTGTCCCTGTAGATGTGTTTTTGTGGTAGTGTCCAGGGGCGGACTGACCATTTGGAAACTGCCCAGGGCCCGGGGCCCAGGGTCAGTAGGGGCCCCATGAGATGCCCCTGGTACCTTTTTCATAGGCTTTTTTGAGTTTGGGCAACGACACAGGGGCCCCATGATCCCCTATTGCCCGGGGGCCCCATGAGTTGTCAGTTAGCCCCTGGTGGTGTCAGTGTGAAAGTCATTGTATCTCTATGGATGTGTTTCTGAGGGTGTCAGTGCAGAGCTGCTTGTTTGTCTGTGGGTATGAATCTGATGGTAAAAATTTGGTACTGATTGTGCCTCTGTGGATGTGTTTCTAGTGGTGTCAGTGTGGTACTGTTTGTGTTTCTGCGGATGTGTTTTCCTGGTGGTGTCAGTACTGTACTGAGTATGTCTCTATAGACATGATGCATCAGTACAATACTGATTGTGTTTCCTGAGATGTGATTCTTACAGTGACAGTGAGATACTATTGTCTCTTTGTGTAGCTGAAGGGGAAGGCAGGATCTTTTTAAAATACCTAATCCCACCTCCTCTATTAAAATTTAAAACACCCAAAAGGACATTTTACCCTATGCTGGGCCAGTGTAATTCAACCCACTTGGTATGAGCTCAGGCTATCGATGACACTTTCCCTGGGCTCATGTCATTATGTGAGCAACACTAGGTCCAAGAAGTAGAACCTTTCACCACCAGAGGACAAGAGGAAGGACCTACGACCCGGTGTGTATTTACCACAAGGCAAACAAGGCAGTTGCCTAGGGCGGCATTTTTCAGGTGGGATCTGAAAGAGGCTGCGGGCTGCTTGATGGTGAATGCAGAGCCTGACTCTTGTTTCCAGGGAACTGTGAAGGTGAGTGTCTTATCTTTTGCCAGAGTGTGTGTGTGGGGGGGGGGTTGCCAGTGTATGGGGGTTGGTGGTAGTGGAAGGCTCTCTCCGTCGGGGGGGGGGGGGGGGGGTTGGGTTCTGGGCTGTTTTTGGTTAATCAAATGTAATATCTCCTGCGCTCCGGGACCCAGGCCGGTGGTGAGTAGATGGAATCAAACTCCAAAAAGAAAGGAACCACCGGAATAAACAAGGTCGTGCAGCTCCACATCAAGGCTGGGGAAGCCCAAACAAAACTGTGAGGGAGAACAACAAAAGAGAAGCGCACCAACCTTGCGCATTACCTCAGTAACCAAAAATTTATGAATAAAAGAATGGTACTCACAAACAGCGAATAAAAACAAGCATGTAAGTCCTCAAAGGGACTTTAGAGGCAAGATGCCAATGCGAATCCCATCATGGAGGAAGCCACTCAGTACATCTGACGCTTTTCGAAGGACATGCCTTCTTCCTCAGAGCTCATTATCAATTAACCTCCGGAAGGTTTTACCCCCTTTATGACCAGGCCATTTTTTGCTATTTAGCAGTGTGCTAATTTAACTAGTAAATTGCTTGGTCATGCAACACTGTACCCAAATTAAATTTATATCATATTTTTTCACACAAATAGAACTTTATTTTGGTTGTATTTGCTCACTAAAGGGTTTTTTATTTTTTATTATATAAATGAAAAAAGACCAAAAAAAATAGAAGAAAAAAAACTCAATATTTTCTACTTTCTGTTATAAAAACATATCCAATAAAATCAAATTTCTTCATAAATTTAGGCCAAAATGTATTGTGCTACACATGTCTTTGATTAAAAAAAAAATCCCCATAAATGTATATTAATTGATTTTTGTGAAAGCTATAGCAACTACAAATGATGGTATATATACAGGAATTTACACAGCTTTAGACGCTATACTAATAATGGCAGTGATTAGCGACTTGTAGTGGGACTGTGATAGTGTGGTGGCAAGCTGGCACTAACAGACACTGACTGGGAGGGACACTAACTGGCTTACTGACACTGATGTCTCTTGTCAGACTAATACAGTGTTCAGATATAATACTGTACAGTACACTCAGGACCGGTGCTTCCCACTAAGCAAACTAGGCAGTTGCCTAAGGTGCATTGCGGCCTAGGGCACAAGCACGGGCTGGCACTCTCTCCGGCAGTGTGGGGCGTCATGAATGATCCTTGTGAGCTGAGGGAGGGGTGACAGAGGGGGAGGTGAAGAGACAGAGAAAGATGCCAGGTGTCTGGGTGGTGTTTTCCAGATTTAAAAAGACAAGAAACGTGTCAGTGACAGGTCATCAGGTGAGGTGGGAGATCTAAGCAATCACCGACTGGATGCCAGCTGTAGTGTAACAGCTACCGCTCCTTCCAGTCTTCCTCTTAGTACCTTACTGCAAGCCAGATGGCGGCTGCATCAGAGACACTGCAGAGTTCCAGTCCAGCCCTTCTTACCATTCATCAGCAAAGGATGGTACTGTCTCGTGTGTGAGTGTGACCCGAACATCACATGTGCAATGTCAGTGATGACATCACAATCCTACAGCCTGCTCTTCTAGTGCATGATGCTGCTGCTAATCTGTCAGTGTAGGTGGTGGTGTCGGATTGTTCAATGTCAGATCTCTCTGTAGAAAAATTGACCAGTAGGTAAAGAACCCAGTAGGAAATATGGTAAGTCCTTGGGAGAACATACTGTGGCTTAAAATGTAATGTTTATTGACACTTTCATAACAAACTAAAAATGCAAACAATATCCTCCACCCTACACTGTAAAATCATGACAATGTTGCCATGCAATAAAATACCTGCCCAGGGATCCCTGTCGACATCACACACACTCACACACAAGCACTGCACACTCGATCGGCCAATGAGATAAGACGCCATGAAAACCCTTGGGGGTTATGTGGTGTCAGATGATGAACAAAGGGACAACCGGAATATAATGGGAATCAAAGAGACAGTGTACAGATTGATGGCAGGATCAAACTGATGAATGCTGGCGCAAAATCAATCAGTCCTCAAAAAGGAGATATATGAGTGGGAGTCGATCCAAGTATAACATAACAGGCAGTCCTCAAACTTCCCATGTATAGACAATGCTTCATAGAGTGATGACATAATATGTAGCTCTCATATAAAGAGTGGAATAGCCCTCAATTAGAGAGTGTATGTGACACAATCAGATCAATGCACTGGTATAACAAGAAGAGGCAGTCAATAGTTAATGCATTAAACCGTGTAGGTCGATCCTTTGATCCTGTGTTCCTGTGTGAGATCATGAAACTAGATGGCAGATCCATATGTTTCCCGTGAAGGACAATCACACAAATATCTTCAAAGAGTAGATGATGGCAGTGGTGCCAGTATAAATGCAAGGCAGGTAAAGTAGGTATTAAAGTGGATACTGACAGTGGTGGGTGAGCTAGAGAATAAAGAAGTGATAAACCGCCATCTACCAGCATTAAGAGCAAGGACATCAAATTACTATTGCTCAGCCGAGCCCTTTGCAGTAGATGGGAGTTCCCCAGTGTATTGATGCCTAGGTACAGGAACAGAGTTCACCCAACCATGCGCTATCATCTGTCGTGGTCTCTTCCTGCTGCTAAATATCAGGTTGTGTACCCATCCCCTTTGTGTCTCAGTCATGCCTCCCTCTGGTTGAGGTACATCGATGATGTCCTCATGCTATAGGAAGGCACCAAGTTGGCACTCCATGTGTTTTTGTCTGAACTCAACAATAACAATCATAACATCAAACTCACCTAAACCTTTGGTTATAGGCAAATATCCTTCCTTGACCTCTCAGTATCGATTGAGAGTGATGCCCTCTACACTAAAACATTCAGGAAATCAATAGCTGCAAATTCCTTGCTCCTCGGCTCCAGCCATCATCCACATTCCCTGATTCAGGGCATCCCCACTGGACAATTTCTGCATATTCGCAGAAACTGTACCAGTGGTGATGACTATAGACAGGAGGCTCATGACCTTTATCATAGATTTCAGGAAAGAGGATACCCTCAAGGTACTCTCAGACGCTCTAAAGCAAAACTTCCAAATGCAAGCAAGAAGAGCTATTATATACACGTACTGACAACTTGATTTCCAGTGAACAATCTCCTGTGCGCATCATTACCCATTTTGGGACTCAGTGGGAGGCAGTGCAGGCAATTTTAACCAAGCACTGGCACATTCTTACTCAGTCCCCTGAATAATCCCAGATTGTGGGCCCCAGACCTCTTAAGGTCACCAAGTGAGCAACAAACTTGAAGGACAGTTTAGTTAAATTTTAATTTACATGCATACACAACCAAAAACTGGCTCACAGATCTAGCTCCGCTCACAGGGTTGTATCCATGTGGACAATATAATATATGTAGGCATGTTGATCGGACAGATAGATTCACTGATGTCTATAATCAGAAAGTTTTTCACATTAAGCAATTTATGAACTGTGCTACCACTTGAGTGATATATATGCTCCAGTGTAATAAAATATATATATTGGGAAAACAAAATGTCAATTATGTGTATGTATAGGTGAACATATAAGTAGTATATGTAATAAACATGATCGAACTCTGGTTGCTGAGCATTTTGCTAAGTTCCATAATTCGTCCCCTGCTGGCCTACGTGTGAAGGCCATTTATGCATTAAATTTGTCTAGTCGTATGGGTGACTTTGACACAATTCTCCTGCGTAAGGAGAAGGAAGGAATGGATTTTTAAAATTGGAGCGTTAGCACCCAGGGGTTTGAACATTGAATTTACCCTACAGGTCTTTCTTGATCCATAATCACCTAACATTCCCTTCCTATTGGAGCTACTGTCACCTGTTATCACCTGTCACATTGGTCTGTTCTTTACCTCTCCTCTGATTGGTCACTTAGCAGAGTGGCTCACTGGCGCAGATACTTTGTAATCATTTGGGGTCTTAGTTGTCTCTTGATTGTGGTATGATTATTTGGTTGCATATACCTGATTACCCTTTGGGCATTTTTATTACATGATAATTGTAGCATTATTATATTGGTGGTATGACTTTGTTTTTGCGGTGGCAATTTTCCCTATGGAAACTGGAAGTGATGTCCAAGTCCTCTATAAAAGTCTTCAATAATATGGCTTGCGTATCCTGAAGAAGCTGACTTGACTCAGTGGGTGAAACTCATTGATGTCACAGCGTCTTGACACCTGCGTCCCTATCATCCCCGTCCCTCCACGTGGTTCCACCATCTGACTGCCACGCACCGCACACTGGACCACCAGGCAGACCCTTCACCCCCGGTTGACCACACCAC